ACCGGCCCACAGCTTCAGTTTAATCCTACGTTTCTGACGGTTATCTAGATGCTTTTCATTCAAATCCTCTGGTTCAAATCCCAGAGAGTTCTGGGTTGGAGTGCCAGAGGGTTCTGGTTCGAGTCCCAGAAGGTCCTGGTTCCAGTCCCAGAAGGGTCCGGGTGCAGGTCCCAGAAGGTTCTGGGTTCGGGTCCCAGAGGGTTCTGGGATCCAGTCCCAGAATGGTCTGGGTTCTAGTCCAAGAGGGTTCTGGGTTCGGATCCCAGAAAGTTCTGGGTTCGGGTCCCAGAGGGTTCTGGGTTGGAGTCCCGGGGGAACCAGGACCTTTCTGGGTGGAGTCAGCATGTTCTCCTGTGTCTGTGGGTTCTCTCCGGGTTCTCCGGCTTCCTCCCTCCGTCCAAAAACCTGCATGTTAGGTTGGCTGGACTCCAAACTGCCCTTAGTGTGAGTGTGTGTGGTTGTTGGTCCTTGTGTGTCTCTGTGTGTCCCTGTAACCCCTGTGACCCCGCCTCTCCCCATTGGCTACTGGAATAGGCTCCAGTCCCCCCCGACCCCAATAGGGAATAAGAGTTTATGATAATGGATGGATGAGACAAAGTATGTAATTAGGGCTGGGAACCTCCTTTAAATAAGAGCGGACCTCTTTAGTGGTCGCTCCGTTTCAGGGGGACTGTTTTTACCGTCGCACAGCGACTCTATCTGAGGGAGGAAACAATATTTCAAGCCAAAGAGGAGCTTAATCTGTTGATATCTGAGAGTGACGCAAGCAGAATCTCAGATTTTTGTCCCTTTTTAGTCCCCTTTAGAGGATTTTTTTTCATTTGGAAGACAGAAATAAATGGGGTGTGGAAATAAAAAGCTGGAGAAAATGCATCTGAGAAACAGGAATAGTTCCGTGTGTGACTGAAATGGTTGTAAACATGCGTGAGTAGGCTCACCGCGGGCGGCGCCTCCAGGTGGAGCGTCCTCAGCAGGAGGTCACGGGACGCGCTGCTGGCTCGCCTGTATCTCTGGCCAATCATTTTGTTCAAGTCATGGAAGCCGTCCAAGAGCCTGCACAGAGGAAACATCTATTCTCAGCCCAGACAATCACATGATTATAAACCATAGGGATTATTTCTAATTCGTCCAGTCTTACACGGCTTTCAGACGACGGGAATCTTTTCAGTTTATCACTGAAATGTTTGAATCCTCCCCTTTTAGTTGTAGTAGTTTAATATAGTATCATATATAAATACATTATAAGATATATTGAATAGAAATAGTTTAAATTCCCCATCTAACCATGTCAAAACAGCAGGACCGTCGGTGTGCTTCCAGTTTTTATTTTTACTCTCTAACAGGCTAAAATAAAAAGCCTGCCACTGTATTTCCTTCTTTTTCTTACACAGTGACACGGTTAAGGCTGATTGACTGAACATCAAAGGCTCTTTTTGGTGAGCAGTATGGATAGTAACACTCCTGGAGATGATTATGAAAAAAATGAGGTGTCAATTGAACTCTAATAGCCACTTTGTGACCGGCACTTCATCTCAATTACTCACTAATCCACTTACAGCCTGCAGTACAGCCCATTCGCCACCTGGGGGCAGTATCGAGTCTCCTGTTCTCACTACAATGACATCATTGTGTCACAAAAGTCCAAAAAAGCCATCGCTGA